AATATATACACACACCTATTAAAATGAGCGAGGGCACTATACAAAAGGCAATCAAGAAAGGTAATTATATAGACAATGAATGTTGGATAAATTCATTAACTGATTTTTACAGTGATACGATCATGAATGAAAAAACCCGCAACAGACTAACCAGAGACAAAATTATTGAAATCATAGGTAGGGATGATTTTAAGGAGGTAGGAGCAACCATTCAAGAAATGGAAGCAGTATTCAAAAAGTTTAATATTCAAGTTAGAATTTTCAATTTTGTAAATGAAGTTATTTATAAGTATGAACCAGAAAAGAGAAACCACCATATAAAAACGTTTTACGCAATGGTGAAGAATAGCCATATTTACACATTAAACCATGATTTAAGTAAGATACAACAGAAGCAATTAATAACAAAACTACCCACTATAAAGGCACACACTGATTATTATATAAATGAAAGAGAAGAACCGCCACAATACAAAATGATTAAATGTATAGATGATATACTTAAAATTAAAACTGATGATAAAACAAAGGAAATATATTTAGTGCCTGAAAATAATAATTTGGCAGAATTATTATTCCAGTTGTTGAATATTGGATATGAACCCAGAATTAAATACACAGGTATTATTGATGAAATAAGATTAAGATTGAACAAGATAACATATATCATAAAAACTCAAAATTTAATTAAATCTTCCGGTGATGGATGGATTGCAGTTAGCAATGAAACTACATACAACAATATGAACAAAGCAATGTTTAATTTCAATAAATCCTTATTCATGTCATCGCATAAATCCTTTTATAACGACATTGATATTAAAATATTAAATGAAACAAGAAGTATAGCACCTTCGGGGTTATTATTGAGTAATATCAATTTAGTTTATAAAACAGAAATAGATGTAAATAAAGCATTTACTAAAGGTTTTTTAAATATTAGGGAAATACCAGTATTTAACCAGTTTGACCATTGGAAAAAATACAACGATGAAATTAAAATAGATGAGCTCCATGAATTAACTTAATATTATGTTGAAACTATAGATACAAATGTAAGACCGTTAAAAACAACAATGGACAGCATTAAGGAACTAATAGAGAAAAATCAACACACCAAGCAGATGATATATTCTATTGCATATAGTAAAGGTATTGACGTTGCTACTTATATAGAATTTCGTAAAACACATGATTTAAGTTTGTTTTTAAATCCTGATGAATTAAAACAAGCAATTAGAAACATTGTAATAAGTGGTAATCACAACTTATTTTTCAACAAAAAATATAATCTAGTATATGGCAAGTTTTTAAAGGAATTCATCAATGAGAATAAGACACACAAAATCAATATTTTATATTATAAACAACCTTCATTTATTCATAAGGTCGAATATACAAATATTATTAATGAACTTTTACAAACAAATATAGATGAACATGACGAAGCATTAGATAAACTAATTAAAAAGTTAATAGCAAATGTCAATTTTGGATTATTAGAAAAAGGAGGCGCTACAGCACATCAAAGTATTTTATTTAAAAGTATTGATGAAGCAGTCCATTATCAAACAGAATACGGAGGTAAAATTAATAAGTTATCGCATATTATAAGCGAATATCCCGAAATGATAACCGAATATGACGACGAAGGAGGCGCAACTACAACATATTATGGATTTGATGAGGATGAATGGGATGTAAAGGCATCATATTATATATTGAATTTGAAGGATAAGGCAGTATTAAGAAACGGATATCGATATATTAAATAATTACTTTTACAACATCACAATTTTAAAATGAACCAAGACTTTAAGACACTAATAACTAATAATATTAATATATATAGTGTAAAAACAGATGCTTTTGTAATTGATACATGCAATGAAGAAAAAACAAAGCAATTATTAGAATTTCATGATGATATAGGAGGTTGGAAAGTTTCAAAGCAGAGAGATGAAATTAATTTACCTACGGTAAAATTTAACGTTGTAAATAATGAATTAATAAAAATACCAGTTTATGAAAGTAAAACTATTGATATTAAAGATGAATACGACACTGATAACATTATAGAGATTGTTAAACAGAATAATCCTATTATGATCAGAGGTGAACTACCGGGCACAGGAAAATCATATATATGTCAAAAAATGGTTGATAAAAATTATAAGGTAATTTTTATTTGTCCTACTAATAAACTATTACAGGCATTTGAAGGAGAAGCAATGACGATAAATAAATTCTTTGGTATTAATTATGGAGATGCTAAATTAGAACCATTTGATTTTACAGAATTTGATGTAATAGTATTTGATGAAATCTATTTTAGTAATTTAAATATATACTGGAGAATAAAACAATTTGTAGAGCAAAATAAGCACAACAAAATTATAATAGCAACAGGAGACACCAAGCAATTAAAACCAGTGCAAGAAATAACAAATACTCAAGACTATGAATTATACACTGACAATATTATAGATAATATTTTTACACATAATATAATATTGAAAGAATGTAAGAGACTTAACACACAGGAAGATAAGGATAAACTCAAGAATATAAAATATGATATTTTTATTAATAAATTACCAATTAAAACTATTATTGAAAAATATTTTGAATACACCACAGACATAAGTAGTTCCAAAAACAACATAGCATTTTTGAATACAACCTGTAAAAATGTATCAAATGAAATTAGAAAGTTAGAAAATAGAAAGGATGAATATGAAGTAGGAGAATTTTTAATTTGTAGAGAATATACTAAAACTAAAACATCAGTTTTTAACGTAAATTTCAAATATAAAATAGTTCATATTGGAAGTGATGGAATATTTACATTAAAAAATGTAAAAACCGAAATTTTACAATCCGTAGAAGTTGCTAAAATAAGAAGCAATTTTATATTTTCTTCTTGCTCTACATGTCATTCTACTCAAGGTAGTAGCATTGATGACACCATAACAATTTTTGATTACAATCATTTTTTGGTAAAGAATTATCCAGAATGGATTTTTACAGCGGTAACACGTGCTCGTGATTTAAACAAAGTCAAATTTTATAAATACACAAAGGATGTTGATGATGTATTTAATCAAAAATGTATTATGAGTTATTTTGAAAGGAAAATTTTGAATTATAAGGAACAAGACAGGAAAGCAAAAAGAAGCATACCTAGAGAAGGTTATGTAAATACTCAATGGTTTCTAGATAATATAAATAATCAATGTAATTACTGCGGATGTGGTTTTACTATTGATATGAAAAATGGTAATATCATTACAAATCTAACAGCACAACGAAAAGATAATGAATTAACTCATACAATAGAAAATATCATCCCATTTTGTAAATTATGTAATTGTAGTTGTAAATGATGATAATTATAATTTAATTATGATAATTTAATTATAATTTTAATTTACTAATTTAATTTTAATTTAAAATTAAAATTCTTGTAAAAAGTATTTAAAGAAATATTTTATAGTACTATTATATAGTGTGATGAGTGATACAGTCCATGATGCTAAAAATATATTGAAAAAAAAGTTTATGAGTTATAAATGTGGAGACTGTGAAATGCTAAAATTACCAATTGAACGGGGTTTTACAAATGGCGTTTGTAATAATATTTGTCAATATATGATATGCAATAATTGCAATAGAATTATAAACAAAATTGATGATATAAATAACAAAGATATTGATATTAAAAATAATGAAACTATTGATGATGATTTAGAAATATTTGTGTTTATTGAAATGAATAATTTCTTAACTATAGAAGGGTTTGATAATTTATTATATCAGGGCGATGATGAAGGAAATGCTAATGATTTTATTTTTAAGTATTATAGCATGGTAAAAAGATTATACAATATGTCTTCTAGCATTAAACGTTTAAAATATGAAACATTGAATGATAATGACCTTGATTTTGTACATGAGGTTTTAAATGATCGGTATAAAACTCACGAACTTAGATATACAATAACACGTGCAATTGGAATAATGGGAATGTTTAGAAAACAAATAAGAAGTAATATTTATAATGAAACAACGTGTGATAAAATAATAGAAAGAATTAAGAAAGAATGGTGCCCGTAAAAACGAATGAACCAGACCTTGCCCATAGTATGTCTACAAAATTTGTGATAAAATTTATTGTAAAATAATTTATCATAATTTTTGGAATAATATTTTTTTTTGTAAAATTTATTTTTGATTTTTTTTGTAAAATTTATTTTCTAATTTTTTTGTAAAATTTATTTTTTTATTTTTTTGTAAACTTTATTTTTTAAAATTTATATTTTAAAATTTATATTTTAAAATTTATTTTTTAAAATTTATATTTTAAAATTTATTTTTTAAAATTTATTTTTTAAAATTTATATTTGAAAATATGGATGAACTTACTAGGAAATTGCCTGCTTTGAAATGTTGATTTTTGAAAATGTGCTTTTTGAGGTGCTGTTTTAAAATGTTGCTAAAAGTGTGGGGAGGACCCTAGGTTTTTTTATAGAAAAAAGATGGGCAAGGTCTGGTCTAACTACACCCGGCTGCTGTATGCATGAACTGCGATTGCTTGCGCAGTCCCGCGTCAGACATGATCACTGGGTGAAATCCGGGTGGCTTTTTGTCTGTCCCCTGGAGGACTCATTCAGGGTGATTCAAAGAAGCTACTTCTTCGGGTTGGTTTTCGTCCGAGTCTGCCTCACCATTCGGTTGTCTTGCAACTTGCGCTGAGCTAAGGTTTTGCTTGACCAACCCGCAAAATTCTCTCCCGTCAGCCGGAGCAGTGCACAAGGCTCTTGAAATTTCCGACATCCCAGTTGCCGACTGGCCAGGGGCAATCAAGTCTTTTGCAACCGGCCATCGGGGGGGGGGGGGGGGAAAAAAACGCTGCTCGCTGCTCCTTTGGCTTTCTCCGAAGCCATTCCATCCTCCCCATGCGTCCCTAGCCGTTTGGACTTCGCCCGGAAGACCCACGCCTAGTGAGGTCGTAAACGAGGTCATCCACAATGATCCAAATGCTCTCGCGGGTGTTGTGCTTTGCTACCTCCGGAAACCGCCGCAAAAAGGGCTGGGGGGGGGGGGTCGGGGTGGGGGGCATTGTTTTGCTTCCAAAGTGGGCAGTGGAAAGGGTCCCATTCGCACCGGGGATATAAACAAACGCGGAAGCAAAGAGCACCGGACGCTCAAACTACGGTAAGCGACATGCAAATACCAGCAAGTCACAGGATAGGGCTCAGTCGTCACGTACAAACTGTTGTCAATATCAGGGTCCCCTTTACACATTCGAATCCTCGAAGGAAGCCATCACAAAACCATCCACTCTGCTCCAAAGCCCATGGAAGGATAGAACTTCGGTCGAACGGAAAGCCGAAGAACCCCTTGTGCCCCACATTATGTTCACCCAAACGTGGCTTGGTGTTGGTCCCAACATGTCCGATTTAGAAGCAAGTATTGCACAACTTCCGTTATAATTAGACCATGGAGGTTCCCCCTTTTAAGTCACAATCAAAGCATGGTAGCAAAAAGGGTCTGCCAAACATCATGTAACGAATCAAAGGCTGTTTCCATCCACGGAGCTGATTCTGGCTAATTTGGCTAGAAACTAACAAGTCAAATACATCGGCACGCCTCCTCCACCGTATACTTTTTGAGCTCCTGGCGGAAACTGCTGCGACTTCCAAAGCCAAACCACCCCTCAAGCCCTAAAGTCCCGGCCTACATGATTTGGGGAAGAGGGTTGCATCCTATGACAACCATGCCCCTTTTCTTTCTGTGTCAAACCTGATTTGGATTTCGGCACCCAGAAGCCACAAAAAGTCAAAGAGGGAAACTTAACCTCCCACCAACCAGCGGGAAATGGGCCATAAGCACTGTCTTCCAAGTGCCGTGTTTGTGTGCCAATTGGGGGAGGGCACACTCATTTTGCGGGGAAACTAAAGGGGTTGCCAAAAAAGGAAGCCTTTTTCTTGGGGGCCCAAAATCTTGAACACACCCATTTGGCCCAGCTGCCGGCAGCCGTGGCCCGATTCTTGGTTTCAAGTAAAGAGAGACGCCACAACAAGGTTGTTGCTCGTCCTTTTTGGGGGCACCCCCAAGAATCGCAAGTGTCCCCCTTAAAATCGCCAAAACAGGGTACCCCCTGAGTTTTGGGAGCCTACCGAAAGGGAATCCCGTAAGATATAGCTTATATAAGTGTTGGCTGCTTCCCTAAAAACCAGCAAGTTTACTTGGAAAATAATACCAATGGGTAACGGGGTCATCAATTCTCATGTGTGCTATTTGATCTCCTACTCACTTCCTTGAAACACTAAGCACAAAGTTGCCCTGGTCATCAAAGCTGCTTGGGGTTGCATTTCTCATCGAATTTCTACTAAGAGAAGACCAATGGGCTCATTCAGAATCATGTCTGCTCGACTCTTTGAAGAAAAACCGACTACTCCACTAATTTGAAGGAATCACGATGACAGGAACCTTCGTAGCTCAGTTTAGCCGTGAACTCGCTTCCTATTTTTTCACACGTCCCCGTGTTCCAACTTTAAAAGTTGGGGGTCGAGCCTTCTAACCGTTTATCGATCGGTCCCTTTTCGGTTTCCCTTTCGGGGATCTTTGGGCAAGGGTGCAAGTTTGAGGATCTTTGGACAAGTCGAGCTTTACATCTGGTCTAACCTTCTTGGATACCCCTACCATGAACACCTGGAGTGGATGTTCCAAGCTAAGAGGTGGTTGCAAAATGGCTATGCGTCAAATTACCCCCCACCATGTGCCTTTAAAAATTAGACCCAAGTGTCCGCCATAGCAAGGCATCCTAAGTCCTATCCGAAGTGAAGGATCTAAAATGGGACACCAGGCTAGGATCAATTGGCTGTGGCTCAAAACGTGGAACCCCAAATCGCACCTTGCTATATGGAAACAAAGACAAAAACCTGCGTAACCCCAGCTGCTTAATTTTTTTCGCCATACCAGGGCCTCATTTTGCTACTCCCGGGATGCGACTCCGTCGCTTCAGCCACCGAGGGCTTCCGTCGAGCGGGTCGTGTCCTTCGAGCTCTTCGGGCGGAGAGGCACCAGCAACGTCTTGCCCTCCTCCTGGCAAAGGGTATCGACATGGGGGCTGCACGACCAACCAGGGAGTTCCCTGAAAATTACTCGTGGCCATTGGGGAGGTTTCCAAAGAGACGAAACCCGAAACCCCTCCTCTTTTGTTCTGCGGCATGGCTCGCACCATGGCCGAGAAGGGCTTCTGTGTCGAGTCTCACCCAAAAGGGTACCAACTGATAAGCTGTGACAACAACAAGAGGTAAGGAAGCAGTTCCCCTTCTGGAAAATCACCTTTGTGATGCTACGCACGGGTCATTCCCATACGCGTTTCGCTTTCAATTGGATTCCCTTCTCACAGACAAGTCCCTTCCGTCAGAGGATGACTATTGTGCCATTGAATTTTCACCCCAACTGCAACTTGGGAAAGGCTACCAACTCCAAAGCAACCGGCTTGTCCGAAGCTCCTCTCTGAAGATCAAGTCTTTGTCCGTGTTCTTTTCGAGCTCTTTGGATCCTGGCTCCGGTAGTACAGGTTATATAATATACGTGTCCATACAAATCATATTACATGGATGTGCATATCAAAGTACTGCAAACCAGCCGATATGACTTCGCGCTTCTATCCTTACGTTCGAATATGTTTAAATGTAACTCCTATATCTTATATCTAGCAATACATGTGGGGCGCGCCAACACACAGGAGAAAGGACCCCGTGTTTTTTGGTAGGTTCAAGAGTTGGGCGCAACTCCCATTTTGGGCAACCCATCGGAAACCCAGATGTTTTCTTCTTTTTTTCTGGGGGGGGGGGGGGTGCAGGTCCCCCATCTTGTTGACACATCGTTTGGGACTCTATCCCAAAGAAGGGAGACGAACGCATGTCAAAGATCGCCCGGCCAAAACGGGGGAACCCCGTCCCGCTGCCTTCCCAGTTCTTCCCTTGCAAAGTATGCTGGCCACAAAGGCCCGTTCACAATTCGGCGAAATTATGCCCAACACATGGCTTCGGCTTTCCTTTCAGCGTCGATAAGGCGAAAGAGCGCGTGCCCACGAAAACTCCTGAAAGTTCAAACGTCCAGTTGAGCTGCCTGTGGATTTGCGCTTTTGGAGGGCCGCCCTTCCAAGATGCGTGATGCCTTGGGTGCTGCAAGCATACAGCAAGCATGTCGGACTTCCGCCCCAGAAATGGGTGGTCATTCTGCGGCGGAACCGTCTTTCTTCGGGAAACCAACAGGAATCCAATGATAGCTTTGGACAAGCACAGCAGAAAGTAACGGATGAAAAAGAAGAAACACGCAACCCTCCCGCCCCCATCCCCATCAGCTCCCCACACCCATCCCGTGTCCCCAGCCTTTGCCGGCGCGCTCGAAGATGCAAATTTGCACCTTGACAAAAGCAACTATTCCACGGCTCAGCGGAGTTGAGTGAATCTAGGGCAAGCAATCGCCTGACTCAAATCGGGTGCAGATTTGTCGGGGACAATCCCAACCAAAGTCGAGCCAAGGCCAAAACACTTTTTGCTAGAAATGTTCACGTCATTAACCTGATCCTGAAGGCTTAGGGTAAACTTGCTTTTAGCTACCATGATCCTCTGTTTCAAGGGGCACCTCCAACCCCAAGCAAAATGATATGGGAAGTGTAGACCGCGGTGGTTCTATGATCAAAGCATAACGAGCTCGGATCAGGAGAGATGTGTAAACGAGCGAAACCCCATGCAGCTGTTTTGGGAGTTCCTGGATTTCCAGTTTGTGATTTACTCTCCGACAAACATTGATCCCACCAGGGTCCCCCCCCTTTTAGAGGAAAATGGTCTGATCGCCACCACTCAGCTTCAATTTGTGTCTGAATTTCAATTAGCGACCCATTTGGGTGGGGGTTTCATGTCCACAAATGTTTGAGGGCGTTCCCCATAGAAATGAGCAGCCAACGCTATCTTTGGTCATTCTAATCGACAACGTGTGGTATGCAATCTGGGAAACTTGCTATAATTCACATTTTATCAACAAACAAGGAATCCCTGATATGTTGCTGTAAAAAGACTTCATTTTAGCAGAATGCTTCAGGCAAACTTAGATGAACCGTTGCAAGCCCACAGGTTGCTCAACTGGGTGCGAATCTTCATAAGGGACCTTTTGGTGGACGTCAAATAGCTGGGGTTTTAATCCATCCACTTGTAAGGTGGTTTCCAACAAATCATAGCCAGACCTTCATGGATCGTGAGCCAAGCCGCCGCCAGCGCCGCCGCTGCAGCAGTACTTCCTGGATCGAGCCGACAGACTGACGAAACTCCCACCGCTTTGAGCCTGACGATGACCCCTTGGGTATGGCTGAAAATTAAAGAGCTATGGTTGCGCAGATTGTAGTCTTTGGTTCCATTGACCAAGGTGCCATTTTCGTTCCACTTTCTATAGTCACCGCCCCTTCTTTTCGGCAGAATCTCCAGTGCCCCTGCGACCCCCCGCCGGTTGCCGGCCCCCGGCGGCCCCGGCGGCCTAGCCGCAGCATCCGCGCCATTTGACCCTCATCCACGCCATCTGACCTCAAGGAGTTCCAATCAACCCGACTGAGGGCTCTTGTGGGGGTGCCTATCTGTGGTCGTAACCCTCGTTTGGCTCGAAAACGGAATGCCAAGAGGAAACCAAGCATGTTGGGGATTCTCTTTGACCCATATGCTTCCATTTGCATAAGCCCCCTGGTAACAATAAACATATTTCCAGTAGTGATAGATTCCCTTTAAAACCAACAGGGGAAAATTAAGCATATTCTCGAGCAAATGGAAGTATAGGTATGTTCGTGTGTCTCCGGCATGTGGCGCCCTGCCAAAGCATAGGAAAAGATAGTTGTTCTCGGTGCATCTTTCAAGGGCTGTCTTTGGTCAAAACGTTGCCCCATGTTCCTTGTCCGCGTGCTGTGTCTTAACATAGTGGAATGCCTCAAAAGGGTTGTTTCCTTTTGGTTTCCCTTTAAACATCCCAGAAAGGACAGCCTCCAAATAGGACACTAGCATTTGCATTGGCTCTAACACGGTTCACCCGTGGCTTCAAAAGTTGCTCAACACCTCGATGCTCAAGAAATTGGTTCTGTGTCACTGAGGGTATGACGACATGGCTCCTTTGTGAATTCAGAATGCCTTTGAATGCAGTTGATGATCATTGCAACTTCCAAGTCGGGCGTCCAGTAGGCAGGGCCATTTGTGGCTTGGCCTCTTTCTACCCTTTGCTTGAATCAAAGGGAGTCAAAGAGAAGCCGCCCGCATCTCTGCAATTTGGAGCAACGCATGGACAAATGCGTTGACTTGGAGCATGCGTGTGTCCTTTTGAAGGGATCCCCCCCCAACAAAAAAGTGGTGTTTCTGTTGGGTTTCCCGTTAAAAACAACCAAAAAGGGTGCCAAAAAGACGAGCCACACATAGGCAAGCTGGAATTACCTTCTCAATCCAACAGTCTTGCCCTTTCACTGATCTTGGCACCGCCCTGTGCCAAGCCTTCACACGCTCGAACTCTCCCCCCAAATTTGTGGGATTTGCACTACCAGACTCGCAAAAATGCCCGATAGTTCTTGGACTCAAGGTGAGAGACCAGCATGAAACCAGGGTCCAAGAGAACTGCAACTTGAGCCATTGCTCCTTCTTTGGGGGCACGGGCCATGATCCACGGTACGCCCCAACCAAAAACTGCCCGGTGTCCAATTGGCTTCTTTTTCCAACCTCAGCCAATCTCCTGACGCCCAGCCAATCATGTCACGTCGGACTCTGGTCCATATGGCTGTGGGTCAAAAATGCCCCAAATGGAACCCTGGTAAATGGAAGTAAAACCTGCGGTCCCCTGGTGGTTTAATTTTGACCCATACCCATATCTAAACCCGCAGAAATGCAAATCGTTGCAGATGAGATCCCATCCAATCGGGATGCTCTTTGGCCCCTCGCGCACAGTTTAGCTTCTTGCTTAGCAAAGCGACTGTTCATCTTCGAGGTTCAACGAAACAAGGTGCAGCCAAGGGTTTGTTTCCTTTTAAGCCCCATCCAGCACAACCGTTCCCTAAAGTTGCCGCTTTTCATCCTACATACCAAAAAAAAGTGAATGGGCCAAACACACAATTAAAACCAGCCAAAAAGAGCATATACGGGCCCCATCCAACAGAATGGCTCCACTCATTTCGAGCGAATCCGCTCTCCCTCCCGGGTCTCCGTGCGCAGTGCCTGACACTCACGACCGATACTTCGGGAGATATTCTGGGTCTGGGTGAACCCAGCAACCCAGGGGCCCGACATATAGGAAGAGCAAAAGGGAACCTTTCGGGGGCCACCGATATGAGTGAACCAAAGAGAAATGGAAACAGATTACAACTGGAGTTGGAGAATGGTTGGGATTTGCGGTTCCAAACTTTTTCAATTGGGGCACACCAAAGACTGGCCCAAACCAGCTGTTGTGGTTCACTGCCCACATCCGATGGCTTCGGGGCGAAAGCTCATGACCTCTGAGCCCGCCCCAAGTCATATCCCGACGTGTTCCCTTGGTCGAACCTTCAACGAGGCGTTGAGCCGCCTAGCAAAATGGTGTCTCAAATAGCGGGCTGCACGGCTTTAAGGGACGCCGTCAAACAAGGAGACCAACGTTTAACCTCGAATGGTGCGGCGAGTTTTGGCCCTGGCTGAGCTCAGGCAAAGGTAAGCTTCGGATTCATCCGGAAGAATCATGTCCTACTCAATGCGAAAACCACTTTTGAATTGTCAGGGCCACTGCGCCACGTTTCCCCCTTTGGCACTTTGGGTTGTTTGTTCAACTTTTGAAGATGACGTTGGATTCGTCTTAGGGACTTGTATTTTCGCCGTAAAAGGACCAATAGGAGACTTGTTCCTGTCGATTTGGGGGTGATTCCATTGGTTGCCTGCTGGAGAATGGAAATACCGGGACCGAGCTGGTTTGGAAGCCAGATGTTCAAACATGGGGGAGAAACTCTAGTTCTGTTCGGTGATCTGTGGTGGGACACCGCTATAACAAGGGCAACCACTACCATGTGGCATAAGGACTTTGTGGATTTATGCTTAACAACCCGGTCCAAATAGCGGAAGGAAACACTTCAAGTCAGTTCCCAAAACTGGTGAAATGAGTATGTGTAAAAAAAATAAATAAATATTTTTTTTGGTTACGCGTTCAACCAACTCAAACAAGGGTACCCCCAAGCAGCACACCCCCAGATGTGGAGTGGGTCGACCCTATTTGATAAGGTTGGCCAGCTGGGAAATACTTTTCCGGCCCAAGACACGGGGCTTCTCTGAAAAACTGTGCAAAAACAAGGGCAGTGGGTTAATGGGCCTCTCCATGCTGGTCTCAGGTGGTTTACTTGGTTGCCTGCAGGTATAGACTCACTGGGACCAACAACACTCCATCCAGGCATCCTGACTGCCCCCTATAGTAGGAAACCAGGGAAGCCACCATGTATGTAAACATCTAGAGGGAATTATCATGGCTACCTACTATAGTGGCCGGATCCACTGGCTTGCTGCATGGAACTTCCGATTGTTGACATTTCAGCTACGCAATGTCTGCAGTATGGTTCAAATAGATAAGCCACCCCCACTGAAGGGAAAGGTGCGGGAGAGCTAGCTCATCTGACATGCCCAAACCCAGGTGGGCCAACCATATGTTCACACAGTCATTGAAACCATCGCCTGTGGCTTCCCGAAGTTGAAATGGCACCCAGCGCTCCAAATCCACATGGAACCTGAAAATCTATTTGAAAGGAATCCCTTGGGCGACCTTCCCGTCCGAAGCACTGGGACGCCCACCAAACCCAGCCGCAGTCCCAACAAAGCCTGCCTGAAAGCCGAGTGTGGGAACTGCCGAGTATGGGGGTTCTGGGGGTTCTGGGGCTCGTCGTATCCCTCCGAAACCCTGGAACCCTGGCCGACTTGGGAAGGCGGAAGTACTTGTGGCGAAAGGACTATATTCACTTGAAAGCGAACCCCTCTCACCCACAAAACTCTGTGGCTTTGGCGCAGCCCTTGAAGCGAATGAGGAAAACTCAAACGTCTGCCAAAGCAGAGGAAACTCCCGTGCGGTAACATCGCTGGAACGCATAACCTCGGCTGGTAGTTTTCAGCACTGTCCCTGGCTTCCACTGAAGCTCCCCAAGGATTCTGCAGTCCACGGAGTATTTTCACTGGACTGGGCATTGATGGGAAAGTTGCCCGACAAACCGTTTGGAAGGAAAAATACAACCTGGACCCTCAAATACCCTTTAATATCGTTTGTTGCCCCAAAATAACAGGGTGGAGTCCCTTTGTTAAGGGTAGTTTGAGGGGCCAGGAACCATTAAAACATGTGGATGTGCAACAAGTATGCGATGCCCGAGTGTGCGCTTCGGGTATAGGGACCCAACATTTCCGCGCCAAGACCGACGGCTTCCACCGCGAAGCTGTCTCTGGCACGGGGTGTGTCTTGGAAGGGTTGCATGAAAACGAAAACCGAGCCGCCGTTGCCCATCTTTGCAGGGCCCCATTTTGAGACGACCAACCTGCGAACTCTTGGCGAAATCGCACCCTTAGCGAAAGCACCCTTGGTGAAAGCACCCTTGGTTGAATTTCTAGTTACATGCCGAAAATAGAAACCAACACTTCTCCTGTCGTCCAAGCTCACGGCCAAGGCGTAACCCTCGCAGCGGGCACTGGATTCCGTCAAAAGCTGCAGCTGACCGGTCCGAAGGCTCAAAAAGCAATGGATTCAGCGATCCGGACTGGATCGGTCTGCATTTTGGTCGGGGGTCTAGATCGCCCATCGCATCCGTCTGAGCTCCGCACGGCAAGGGAGCCCAACATCCTGAAGGCTCACGGAGGGCCCCTCCCTGGCCGGAGGCGCGCTTGTGTCAGACATACTTTGGATGGGCAAAAAAGTAAACGCAAAGCTTGCTGGAGGGTCCTTTGAAAACATAAGGCTCAAAGAACAGGCGCGAACCTTCTCAAGGACCGCCAACAAATCCTGCAGAGCCATAGTGCTATCGCAGCGCAAAACTGACTGTGAGTAAATATTAGAGCCCAGTAAGGGCCATTAAAGGCCATGGTCTTCCCTTCTGCCTCTCTAAATCAGTATTTGAGTAAAGGTTTGTTGTTTGGAAGGCGGTATCAAGTACCAGCATTGGCGAATGTGGGGATCATGCCCCTCCTCCACCGAGAATATTCAGTCAGGGAATTTCAGAGTTGAAAACGGGAAGCCTGATTGGCTTGACGTCCACATTCTCTGAGAACCTGTCTCACAATTATCAGACGAGGCCCACAAACAACTCACTTGTGCGGAGGGTGTTCCTTTCGCGTTCACAGGAGTCAAACGATCGGCGAGCTGGGCCTGTCCCTTTGCTTCCGCTAAGCTGTTCAAGTTGCCTTCATGGATCTCAGCCGCGCAACAAACATAGACGGAATCAAACACGATCAGGTCTGGTGTGTCCTTTCGAACTGCCAAAACGCAAAAAACAATGCTTGAGCTCATCACTAGGGACTTCTGCAGAGGGTGTGGGCTCTTTTTCGGCCACACTGAAGGTCACTTTTTGACACAGGAAAGGGCGAGAGGGGAGTCGTGAGAGGGGAGTCGTGAGAGGGGAGTCGCGAGAGGGGGGAATGTTCTTAACCTTTGTCCAAAGAAGCCCTGCTCCCCCAACCGAAGGAAACAAAGAAAATCAAGGAAACCAACCGTTTCCAGGATACATCTCCTGATTTTGAGACCATCCCCCCCCTGGACCAGAGCCTCTTCGCTCCGCGAGTTCGGGCAGTTTGCGTTTGTGTCTGAGCCAATCGGCGGCGGGGAGGCCTCAGGGAGAACAGGGTCAACGCTGGGTTGGTGTAAGGAGGAACCAACTGGAACACCAAAATGCATGGGGGTGTTTTTTTTGGAACCCCCCCCCCCGGCAACAAAGAAACGGCTTCCTTCTGGTGTACCTTTGTACCCTCAAAAGAGCACCCGCATGTTTGCGGTCCTAATCCAAATTTCCACACGAAACTCCTTCTCCCCTCAAAGCGAGAAGAACACCCAAAGACTAAGCTCGGATCCGGGACGGGCAGCAATGCCCCTTGAAACCAATTGTTGAAACGATCGACTGTTTGACTCCCTTAGGTGGCCAAGGTCTTGCTTAAACACATAATTGTGTCTCAAACTGGGAGACCCTTGAGGATTGGCGGTTTTCCATTGCTTCCTCTTTAAAACCAGCCAACTTAAAAAGGGTCTCCCGACAAAAGACACACAAAATGACCGCCCGATGTGATCCCGATCCGAACCCGATGCCACTTGGGATGGCTGTCCATTGGGACGACTCAGAGAAGGACTTTGGGCATGCAACAGGGGCACCCTGACTAAAGGATGACACACCCAGATCAATACAGAGACCCAAGGGTTTTTAGGCGCTCATGTAGGCCGAAGGGACTTTTTGTATCAAGCTGGCAACTGCCAAGCTGGCATGTCAGCAAAGGGACGTCCGATGGCAAGGGAATTCCGGACGCCGGACAAGGCTACATGTTTCCAGTTTTCTGGGCTGTTCGAACTAAAGCGGAGCACTTGAGCAACGGATCTTGCGGGCCTTGGACTTGCTTCGGCCACGACTATGTGCCGAAGACTCGAGACTGGGGGGCCGCGACGAGTAGCAACTAAAACCCGGAAATGATCAAACGAGTCTTGCCAAACATGGGGGTGCTTCTATGCCCGCACACTCAACATGTTCAGATACAAGCGCTGTTGGTTCGATCAATTCGTCAAAGGCCTACGAAAACCGAGTGAGACGGCAAGGGCGCACGCCGGACCGAGAGCCCGTGTGACGGTTGGCTTGGCCAGCCAAAAATTGGCTTGTCTAACGCGCAAGAGTTCGACAGCTGCCCCGTGCGTTTGAAGGCATTGAATACCGTATCCTTCAGGATGGACCCGATTAGTGGACATCCAAGGCAGCCGGCAGCAGGATTTTTCTCCACCGCGGCTGCGGCTGCGGCCCTAGCGCTCCCCTTCGCAGGTTTGTTTGGGGTACCCGCATTGTTCCATCGTGTCAAAGTTTTTCGCCCGTTGTTGTCTAGTAAGGTGCTCCCACCTGCTGTTGATGCACAGTATACAATCGCTAGCGCAGGTCACGTTGAAGCACACTTCATCCATGGCAGCTTGGCGGTCGCTGTATTCCTTGCAGCCTTGCAGGCTGAGCACAAGCAGCAATTCTATCGAGAGCAAGGACCAAGGCGGCCAAGGCGCCATTGCGCAAAAGTGTCAAACGGAGCGCTATGGGAGCTCGAGGTTTGAGCCAACATGGCTACGGCAGGTGTGTTTCCAGCAATAGGGGGCGCCCCCGGTTTTCAGTTTCTTTGGGGCTCTCCTAAAAAATGCTGGCTGCCTCGCGCTCGCCTTTTTGGGATCCGATCTCAGTCGCGCCAAAAGGAGCCACGGTCCGTGTTCCTCTTCGGGGCCTCAAGCGCCGGAGCTGTTTCGGCCACGTAAGCGGTAGGCGCCCTACCGCCAGAGCCACCGTGCAGGGTGAAGCCTTATGGCCGAACACGGACAAGGACAAAATTCACATTTATTTGGGGAAGGGGGCCCTTGTGAAGGCGGTTGTCCATCGGACCAAAACGGGGGTCTGCTTGAGCTAGAGCCTGGCCACCATCTGGCCAGTTTCTTGTTTCTCGGTCCTATATTTGGCCGTGTTGGCTGGTAGACTCGTATGACCGTTTGTGATTCGACCATTTGCGCATACGACCCGCGCGAAATCGGTGTTCTTCAACATGTTCGACCGTGTTGTTGGAACAACTGGGGACATATGACCATGTTTTTCCCCTGGGACCAAAAAACTGGCATTGGGCCCCAAGGGCGCCCTTAAACTTGGAGACCTAGGCTTAACCTTACGATCCTGGACTCAATCCGCACATCTGAACTTGGCGCTTCCAAGTAAATTGAATATACTTTATGTGTGTATGTTTTTATATTTATATATATACATATATGTGCAGATGTACAAGCAACTGCATGTGTTTGCTTTTGAGGGTGCCCATTTCGTAACAAGTTGCCAAAAAACTTGTTACCACATCCGGCTATTTCAAAAGCTCTGGAACCCTCTGCAAAAAGTTGACTTTTTGTGGGTTTAATGGAAAGCCCCTTGATGTCCCAAAAAGTTAGAGTCTAAAGATCCAAGTCAAGGGCTGTGACACTCACTCTCACACACACATACACACACCGACACACACCCACACACTCACACACTGGGAGAGCTCCTCGAAAGGAGTAGTACCTTGCTGCAGTGGCATCAAGCAAAATGCAGGTACGTACGGTTGATCAGGCTGCTATGCCGCGCATCAGCCGGCTTTGTTAGCAGAGATTGCCATGAGCTTCTGCCATGGACGTCCGAGCTGGTAGTAAATAGTAACCAGCTCCTGAGTGCCTTGTTCGGCCTGCGAAAACGGAAAAGAGTCCTTGGCTGCAGTAGCCATACGTGGCACGACGAAGCTGGTATCGGACCCTCATGGACTCTGAGCAAACCTCGCACCCCAAAATTCGCCTCCCGGGAACGGTTTCCAACTGCACCGGAAAAGAAGTCGGGGCTGCAAAAATTCTGCAACCAAGCAGTCCTGAGTAACAGCCGGTCTGTCAAGACAAGCCTGTTATCAACGCACCGTGTAACGAAAAAGGCGGCGGCATGGACCAGACGTGCAAGGTTCAACGTTGGCTGCCCACTCCTGTTCCAAATGGCAAACAAGCTTGGAGAGACAGTCTGCATAGTGGCATGGTATCAACAAGCTTGATTTCACGCTGCTTCTGAGCGTGTTTGCGGGCCCTGCCACACATCACCCGCAAGCGGGCGTTGTTGCAGATAGTGAAAACGGCATCTTCTTGCATATCGTGATGGCGCTCTACTAGAATGCGCTGCGGCGGAAGTCTGCGGGAAGCTGGGGCAAAAACTGTGCAGGTTGGCAAATAAATTGGTAGCGTCTCATTGCCAGAGCTCTTGTACTGCCAAGCGGCGAAAAGCACGAAAAGTGGTCTGTAGACCGCAAAATGCGGCCACCCCTGGCAATTCCACAAACTCAGGCAACTCTTGTAGACTGCGCAAACGTGTGAACGCAAGACTTACTGGGCAGCGAAATGTCGCAGCGGGCCTTCTTCCAAAGATGGCAAGGCAAGCGTGTGAAAAGTTTGTACGGTCAGCCCTTTGCCTGCCACTGGTCTGTCCACTCGGACAGGTCCGCTGTGTCATGTGCCATGACTCGGACTGATTTGGCACTATTGTTAAACAAGCCGGCTCGCACTTCTCCCCTTGAAGCTGTCGCTCAGTTAGCATTGTCACTATCTCTATGGGCGACTCAAGGCTCAAGCTGAATTGGAACCTGTGGGGGCCGTGGAAAGCACTGAAAGGAGCCCCAGCTAGCGCTTTTGCAGCCGCTAGCGCACGTTGGCACAAATTGGTGCGAAAGTGTCAGTTGCATAAACGGGGGGCCTAACAGCCCAAACTCCCGTTTTCAACTCTCACCACTCGCCTGACGCTTTGAGCATTGGGCGGCCGCTGCTTCGACGTCCTTGGCTTACTTTTCTAGGTCGCCTGGCGGGGGCATCAGGTCCGAGATAGTTCGCCTTGTTTGTAGTGTTTCGGCACAAGCTCCAAGCCTACAAGAAATGGCGGCCACATTGTCCGATGTGTTGACATCTCCGACGTCGAGAGCACACCGTCTCAGCCATTGGGCCAACGGATGCCCAAGCGGAGGTGAGGGCCTCTCTCTCTCTCTTGGTGCTCTTCGGACATTCGAGCCGTCGGGCTCTAGTCAAGAGCATAAAAAAACTGGCTCAAACCAATCAGGTCAAAGGAAATTAGGTCACAGGGATGATCAGGTCGGAATCAGGTCATTTTTTCTGGACGAGGTTTTGACAGTGACAGTCAGATAAAGGTGAGACTTCACGCGTGCAATCGTAGAGTGGCGAATCAAAAAAAGTTGCTGTTTGGCCAGACATCGTCTGGGCTCACGACTCCTCCGTGAACGGGGCACAGCCATATAATTCCACACTCCTCGAAAGGAGTAGCGGTCCTTTTTGTCTTCCTTGCTGCAGTGGCATCAAGCCGCGTATCGAAACAAACTGCAGGTGCGTGCGGTTGACCAGGCCGCATATCCCCGCCGCACATCAGCCGGCTTTGTAGCAGAGGCGCCGATGAGGGTGCCTCTGCCCCCCCATTGATGGAAAACGGATACTTGGTGAAAACACGGCGTCCTGGAAGAAAGGCATTTCCTGTCAGACTCTTTCGGACACACACACACACACCTACCCCCACACACACACACACACACACACACACACACACACACACACACACACACACACACACACACACACACACACACACACACACACACACACACACACACACACACACACTTGAACTCCAGATGGAGAGTGCTAATCTTTCGAGTACAACTGATGAGTCTCGAGTACAACCGACAAGTCTCGAGTATGATGAGTTTCGGCTCTCAATGCACTTGGCTTCCCTCTAGTGTCGAACACGTTACGAGCAAGAACAAGAAGCACAAAACAGCGCCGCAACCAAGGGGCCAAAAGGACTTTCAGAATCACTGAAGCAGGTACAGGTGTCCACGTCTGGACACCCTTCCCACCTTTGGCAACAGCTTCATTGCGTGCAGTATGCCAAAGGTGCTGCACGCCCCTGCTGCGAAACCGAAAGGGTGGTGACAGGGCATTCTGTCACTCCGCACACACACGCCCCTCTACGAGGGGCGAGGTTTCTCTTTTCTCCTGCAGGAAGATCACATGCTCAAACTC